AACACCTCTTGGAGTAATTCAATGTATCTAGACACTTTGAAAGGTTTATTTATGAAGGGATATGTCTCATGGATTAATGGGCATGTCTTTAGAATTCAAAAGAGTTGACTTTTGGATAGAATTTTTGGGGGAAATTTTGAATTCTTTTTGGAGGGAGATAGCCTTTGATAAAAGAGAGGGAATTCTAGGGCTTGGAGGAGAGAGGAGTTTTGTGCGTGAGGTGTGTCGCGTGAAGAAGGAGAGTTATAAAGAGAGAGAAAGTCAAGGGCTTGGAGATTTTCTTCAAGGATTGCAAGAGGAGAGGGAATGTGAGAGATTTCTTCTTCATTACACTTCTAAGAGAGAATTGAGAGTGCTTGTAAAGAGAGAAAGACTTGGAGAGAACTTTTAGGAATTTGTTTGGGAAGAATTGTGAGATAAGTTGTGTCTTTTATTTCTTTTGTTTTGTAAACCTTTTTTATATATGAAATTTGTGTTTTATCGTATCCTTCTCATGAACTCTAAGTAGTCTTATTTATCCTTCTCCCTACTTTGAGATATGATTTTGTGAAGAATTGATTTTATTTTGTATAGTTTTAAATGTCAATAGTTTGTGATGATTTGAACTCCGATATTCATTTACTTTTTGATCTGACCAATTGAAATGTTAAAATGTGTTGAGAAATATATGTTTTGAAAAGGTTATGATTTCTACAACATATGGAGAATCACATTTGATTTCATGGGAGAGTATTTCATCCATGGAATTGGGTGCAAATAAATAGGAAAATATACTTTGTTTGATGCAGAATTGGAGATTTTAAGGTAACAAATTATAATCCTTAATTTGGTTGAGTTGATTGGAAATAAATGAGAGATTATTAGCCCTTAGAAGAGGGAGTAGTAGGAGTTATGGAGTGGCAGCCAATATCCTCTCAGCCTAACTACGGAATTAGGGACCAAACTCTGGATTAGTCAATGTTCTTTATGCACTCGGAAGAGGGTAAAAAATAGGATTGCTTCTATTTGGCCCAAAACAGTTTATATATATATATTTTCAAATGATTTTAATTTCTTCACAATCCATATACTCATTGTAAAGGGGAAGGATGCTTTCTTAAATTTGAACTACCCATGACAACATCTTAGCTTTAATTTTCGTAAATTTACTTTTAAAAGTTTAGCATTCAGATTAGTTAACTTTGTCTTACAACTGCATTTTAATTACTCTTCACTAGCATTCAAACTTTGCACTTTACTTTTTATATTTTTGAAATTGTACTTTACATTATAATCTTAAGAACTTATTTACAGGCATTTCCAACTTTCTTGTGAGATCGATATTGATAGAAACTTTTTATTTGCTTAAAATATAAGATAAATATGGACGTAATAAATATTCAATAATTGTAAAGTCAGAGTTATCAACACAAGTATATGTATCGCTCAAGTAATATAGGGCTCTAATGGAGTCCTAGATATCGATCCCACAGGGAGTGGTTTAGAATTGCGAACTAAGATTTTAGAAAAGCAATACTTTAATCACAACAACGAAGTTCAATTTGCTTATTTGTCACTAATAAACAATTGAAATAAGTATGCAATTTTAATAACTATTAAATAACTAATGATACTAATGATGGTTTAATTGTGATATTCAATATATAAGAAAGCATCATTCCCCTTATCAGGAAATTATAGTGAATGGATAAAGTGAATTAGTTCAATTTATATTGTGTCAAATAGGAGCATACCTATTCTTTACCCTTTGGTCTAGGCATAAAAAACATTGACTAATCCTACACTTGTTTACTGAATCTGCGGCTAGGCTGGGAGGAT